CTCCTATCAGACACAATAGATTTAGAAGAAACATTTCTACTTAATAGATTGATACTAGGTATTTATAAACGCACATGTGCATTTCTAATATTCTAATCAAGGACACTTCCAGTAGCCTCTTCTCAGCCAGAACTGGCTGCTTAAAGGGTTCACTGCCTGTAGATTCAGACAGGTAAAAGATAAAAGGTGCTTTTCTATGTCATGTAGTTGTGCAGTGTTTGTAGATTGGAAGAAGCCAGAGTTTTACTTCAACAGGTATCGGGCTTTTCCCCAAATTCACAGCACATATAAATACAATCCCACCAAATGTAAGACTTCTGTAGGATACTATTTACCTGTTTATGACTCAGGTTTATGGTTTTATTTTAGTTTTAAATGTAACTTTTTTTTTTTGTTCCATTTGGAAACCTGTGCTGCGTGAGAGAGGATGGCTTGAGGAAACATACGATTTAAAGTGCTTAAAGTAAGTTAAGTGGTCATTCTGTTACCGTTATTGAAGTACATAAAAACATCACACAAGCACTGAAAGCTAAACTCTACAGACCACCCCATGTAATAACTCTTCCACTGGCCGAAAACAATCAATGCACTAAAATAGCTTGTCATGGCCAGCAGATGTCACTGGTGCTGCATCAGACCTCGTGGAAGCCCAACAAGACCATTGGGAGCAAATCCAAGTCCGCCATTCATTTACCGTGTCCATGTTAATGGAAAAAAAAGTAAATCTCCTCCCAGCTATAGAGTTCCCTAGGCTCTTGCTAAGCTGATGCTGAGACAGCCAATTACAAAATGGAAAAGACCTCTGCCAGCCTTGGGGACAGTTGCCAAGGAGGTGAAGCAGTTTCCAGAGGCAACACAGGTTTAAATAAGGAAACAATTCAATAGCCGCCTAATAAAATATAATTAAATGGTTCATTTATATTACTGCTGCATCTGCAGAGACTTTATTCAAAGTGATTTCTAATGTATCCTTGTTTCCAGCATTATTCTTGAGGTCTATTCCCTTAATTTTTGGGCTGTGTTGTTAATTTGCTGCCTCAGCTGAACATTTATAGAAAAATACCAGTATACACAGTCTTTAGACAATTGGAAGTCCATCTGCGGAGAAATTACAAGTCTCATGAAACATTGCAGGACTCAGACAGCCACAATCATGACCCTCAGAGGCAGAGGTATGATGGTATTTGTATTTGCACCACAGCTGGAGTTCGGAGGTTGCTTACCTCTGGTCTATACCATTCCTGGCTGGCTGATATCTGAGAAATCTATTGACCTTGAGTTTGATCTGTACTGTTCACATGGATGAAGATGTGCATTTCAAGTCTAAAACAACAAAATCCAATATCAGTTATATCCCTGCTGCCAACTTTTTTATGGTGTTGGAAAGCATATTGCCTTCATGTGGTCTGGAAACTCCCATCATGCCGCACAAGCCTACCCAAGATCACTAGGTGGAAGTGACCCTTGTATATGTCATGCTTTCAGACCAGGAGTAACCTTCTGAAAAAAGCCACCTAAGGCATCAAAAGTGCCCCGCATTTGGCAATAATGCCTGCTCTTGTATCAAGCTCTGCCTGTTTCCAATCATGGACACGCTTGACGAGATGGAACTGCACAGGAATACACAATATGAACATTCGATGCAGCTTCCCCAGTATTTAGAAATAATTTAGAAAGAAGATGGCCAGGAATAGCTTGATGCAAAATTCCTTCTTTACCTCATTGTAGTAGGACAAACCTAAATAAATATCACAGTACCAACCAAAACTCAATAAAATCACTTTAGCAATGTTAAAATGTAAAATCTAATTTAAATTTTGTACGCCTTCAGCAGCACACCTGCCCTCTGCAGTCAAATGATGCGGATGTTTTGTGATCTAGACAAGCATGACTGGAAAACAAACCTCAGGAGCTAATGACGTGAATACACAGGCTGCACATGGGCTATAGCTTGTGATAGGTGCTCTTTATCGCTTTACACATGGGCCCACGCCCTTGGCTCAAAGTGTGCCTTCAGCAACTCACAACTCTTCCATTTATAGATGGCCAACGTAGATTTTCATGCAACAGTGGGCTAGGGTGACGTACGGTTAACCAAGGCTGGACAAAACCCACAAACCAGGTAGCCAATGCTCCCTAAAAATGGCTGGTGCCTAACTTTTGAGTTTTTTTCTAAGTGCTGTCAGTGGAACTGCCTCCTAAAATCAAAACCTGCCCGTTCCTGGATGGCACGGACTGGCTCCTGAACTCCCCTCCAATCAACCAGGGCAGCCAAGGCAAAAAAAGAGCTTTTTCATAGCCTAAAGCAAAGAAGGCAAATGAAAGCAAAGACCTGATGAGTGGCTTTGGGAAATACCATGGCCGCACAACGCATTACAACGTAAGCATTTTAGTGTGTACATAGTTGGATATAAAGTGACAAGAGTACAAGGTAGTAAAATTAAGCAGCAGAAAAATAAAGAAAGTTCATCAAAATAGATTTGTTCTGCTTGGGACTATTAGAGACAAATGTCTACACAGGCATTTGGGCCTTCATAACCCAGGTTTGTAACCCAGCTTCAAGTTACCCAAAATGTATGGTTATGAGGTCAAAACCCGAGTCAACTTCGACCTCGGGAACCAACATTGTAGCTTAGCCATTAAACCCTAACTCCAGCCAAACATTTATTTCCAGTTTTGCAAAGGGGGGGTGATCATTTCTTTGCATCTAAAAAGCATAAGATGGCCAGCAGATCAAGAGCTCAAATTTTTACTGCGTTCCTACTTGCATTACCAACATAGCTCGCACAGAAGAAATAAAAACCACAGGGCGCTGTGGTCTCCTTTCTCAAGGTGACAGGCTGAAGGAGACTTTGGGAAAGGGGCCAATTTATAAATCTTCTGTGCTATTAGCATGGCATAACTGCGGCTAGATAGATCAGGAATTTCCATTTCATAAACTGGCCCCTTGGTGAGCTGGCCATCTGTTGTTTTTTTTACCTGTTTGTGAACCCACTGTGAAGACTTTCCTTCATTTCCTGTCTGCATGACACCTGTTCAAGAAATTGGACGTGTGGTTGTCAGAACAGGCACAGACCGCAATAAAAAAAACATTGTCAGAAGTTCCATCACTTCCACAGTCCACTAAAAATATGTTTTTAGTTCTTTTGTCCATGCTTCCGTTGGAGAACTTTCCCATTTCCTCCTGTTGTGACAGGAATTGAGGGAAAATTACAACAGGGGCCAGAAGGCAAAAAAAAAAAAAACTTGACAGAGGCTCTAACTTCTCTCTGTGTACATTAAATAGTTAGGGTTGCAGTTCAGTTTTAAAATGCTGGAAATGTTTTCAGTTTTGGATAAAGTGAAATGTTAGGATTTATTACTGTCTATGTACCTATTGTGGCGTTCCTCCTTCAGTTCCTGTCCTATCTTGTCATACTTGTTGTCACTATGATAGGAAGTGAGGAAAATCTCCCCAACAGGGATGCGCACAGTAATAACGGCTTTATAAAGGTTATAACCAATTTCAATCTAAAAAATAAAACGGTTTGGGCCGGAGTTGTGTTTTAACTTGATGGCATAATTTAAAGGAAATTAAAACACTAACATTGATCTTCACATCCAGACATGGATTGTCCTTATTGTGCAACTTTACCTGAAAATGCAACCATGAAAGATAAATGCAGCTCACAGTGTACCCATCTCCTACTCACAGAAAAGTAACTATTTTGTAATTTCCCACAATAATCATATCATTGGATTCTGCCAATCTACTAAAAATGGGTTTTGTGATGGGGCCTCAAGTGCCACAGAGCTCAGTTACACCATTAGCTAGGATAATAATGGAGAAGGGAAATACTGGGTCACCTCACAAAAAGACTGCCTTTGCCAGGGCTGGTGTTCAAAAACTGGAGCAAATTAACAAAATTAGCCGTTTCTTTTGAAAGGAGAAACCTGAGTGGCTGTGTTGTACATCTGCAGATTTGCTCCATCGTGGCTGTGTGAGAGGGTGACCAATAAAGTCAGCACATTGGACAAGCTTTTGACATTGAAATATTTGCATATTCTTAACACGCAGTAAATAAGCTTTGGTTAAAAAAAGCCCTCACTGACCTCTGTAGCTGCAGAATCTGAAGAGAAATTCATCAAAGTTTACAGCAAAACACTTTCAATTTCTCTCAGCATCTCAGCAGCTTCTGCTCCTTGCTACCAGCAGTGTCTTAGCAGCTCAGCTCACCCTGGAGCCAAGCAGTGACCTCTTATCTCTAAAGTTAGTAGAGCAAGTGCACAGGAAGAGAGGGAGAGTAGAGGACTGAGGCTAGACTTCTGCTGTGAAACTGAATGTGATGCACAGTGCCTACAGCTATAGAGGACAGTAAGAGCTTGATTTAAAGCATACTTACTGCTTGTTAAGAAAACAAATATAAATATTTACATGTCCATAGCTTGGCCACAGTTCCACTTGAAAAGAAAGCCCACGCTAACCCACCAGACAGGCATCAGAGGAGTAAGAGGAATATAAGTCTAAAGTGCCTGTCACTGACCCACTGCTTGAAAGCCTCATCTGAGCCAATTTCATGGCCAGTGCCTAAATCTCAGCTTCTACCAGGGGTCAGGCTTGAGAAATATCACATTTTCTGCAAGAAGATCTTTATCTTTAAACACGTTTCTTTCTTTTTAGGACAGAGGAAGGCATAGAACTTTGGTTGTTTGTTTATTGCCGTGTCTCCAATGGGAGATCTCCTCTCACTTTTTGTCAGGACAGGAAGTGATTGGAAATTTCTCCAGCAGGGACACACAGACTGCAACAAAAACGGAAAATGGTTAGTATTAGTATAGTATTTTTACCCGTTGTGTTCTGCCCCTGTAGCACCTGACCCCTTAATTTCTTATCCTCCTGCTGTCATAGGCTGTCAGAGGGACAGAAAGTGCAGTATTTTTTTCCCAGTGGGGTCACAGGCATCAATAATTCAAATCAAAATTTGACAGTATTTTTTTAGGCCTATCCAAAATGATAAAAACTTTGGCTGGAGTTGGGCTTTAAGAGTAGGCCACAGGAGTTGAACGTCATTCAAACTGGGACTTTCATGTAGCAGATCACAGTACTGAGGACACCAATGTGAGTGCAGTCTACACAGTACAGTCACTGCCACCCCGCTCTACTGGTCCCGACTTAATATATCACTGTGGAGCTGCCTGTTAAATAAGATCAAGGCATAAAACTTGAGGGATCCAAATACCCCATCCCAGCAGTGTGCATATTGCCTTCATTTTGAGCTGGTCTGATAAAGCCCGCAGTTTGGCTCTGTAGGGCCTTTTGAGCAAACTCCTTCATAGCTTTGCCAATGGAAGGGCTGACCTGAACCTCCGGATTTGGCATTAACACTAAAACATTGTTTCCCTCTACCCGGTCCACTTTTGAATATTCTCTGTTCGTAGCTAGTGCTAAATATTGGTCCGTTTTGCCTCTGTTCTCTTTGTGTTTTGGTATTAATGCTAGGGCATTGTTTTGGTTAACTTTATGAACTACCACATAGTCCATGGCTCGAGGAAGCATTAAAGAATTCTTCTGGTTGGCCAGTAAAAGGAGCATATCAGGGTCCACGCCCTTGGAATGCAAATCTGCCAAGTCAATATGCTTGTTTTGGCTCTCCTCGCCAATGGTCTCTATTGTCCTAAAGTATGCCTGCTGGCTGTTTTCTCCATTTGGCATCAGAAATGCTGGCGTGTTGACATTCATAGCGCCAAGGGCTAGCTTGCAAATGTCTGTGATGTTGTGGTACGATGAATTTGGAGAAGGGTTATCCATTGCCCTCCCATCGGGCCAGTTAAAAGACTTGTTATCGCTGTAGTCCAACTTGTTATTTTGTAATGGCCAAGGACATTTAGTTGCAGATAAGTCATGAGTAGTGCTGATTTCAGCACTCTCAAAACCCTGGGAAAGGACCCTTTGGTCCTTGTTTCCTTCAGAGGGAACAAAAGGACTGTCACAGCTTTCTCGTCCAGAGTCATTGTCTGTGTCCACAGGAGAAACTTTAATATGGTGGCTTTGAGGGTCCCTTTCTGGACTGGATATGAGGTGCTCCTTGCTATCATCCACCTCTAAAAACGCTACCAAAAGATCTTCGCAGTCAGAGGTTGGGGGAAATCCTTGACAGCCAAAGGCACTCAAAAGGTCTTCAGATTTCCCGCTCTGCCAAGAAACGAAAGAAAACAATAGTAAAAGGGCAAATGAACAACAACATAAAACACAGATAATTACATTCTATGTATGGGCTTGTGTGCACCAGAGTCTTCAGATTAGTCCTTTTTCCATAAATTATTAAATATAAGGATTTAGACTTTTGCACATACATAGTTAGAAATAAAAAACAATAATATGTAAAGTATTTTGCATATCAATACATCAATACAGAAGCATTTTGCATTAAATCTATATGTATCATGCAGTTTTTAGCAATGGCAAATATCTCTCATTATCAGCCATTGCAGGCTCAGAAATGGCTGATGGCAAAGTTTTTCCAGAAGGGATTGCCACAAAATATATCAACCCCAAAGCTTTGTAACTTCTTTGTATAGATTATCAAGCAAATTGTGACATTGAGGTAAATTTAGCATAAATAGATTGCATGCAATCTAATCATAGAACAGATCATTACTGCTCTTTGTGTAACCCAATTCACCCAATAGACTGCAATAACTTTGCATGGGTAGGCAATCTCTGCCATCCAGCTGTAGTGAAGCTACAAGTTTCTCGAGGCAATGCAAAACTCTAACAGCCGCAGTCATAACCTCCAGAGGCAGGATCATAATGGGAGTTGTAGTTTCACCACAGCTGGAGGGCTGATGTTGCCTACCCCTGTATTAGAGACTAGAGGCAGAAAGGAGACTCATAGCGCTGTAGAGCTGCAGACTTTAAATAGAGATGTCATCCTTGGTCATAAGTGCTATAGCTCGATTGTACAATTATCTTTAAGTTTACCAAGCTATGCGAGCCTACCTAAGCAAATCATTACATTTGTATCAGATCAGGCAAGCCTGCTACGTATTTGTTGGCAAATTTTAAAAGGGGATTGTATAATCAGGCTGCTACATGATCATATGTAATTTACATTAGCATGCATCAATGTGTTAATTACCTGATTGGTTAAATGGAATTATAAGCATTTTAGCAGATAAAACTACATGTTTCAACTATCTATTTCTGTTTATTTGGAGTGTCACTTTAATGATCAATAAAAAAATCATTTGAAGCAATATACTATACAAGACATCTGTGCAAACAAGCCCTGGGAGTCATTGGATCACACAGTACCTTGGAAAGTAATAAGCAGTTAGCACATACTTACAAATTATTTCTACATCGGCATCCTTGTAGCTGCCATGACTATATCTTTCATAGTGGGCCGATCTGAGCTGTGTGTGCAGAGAGCAAACAAAATTCCCTTATAATGGAAATGCTCTGCTCTGGATTGCCATTCCTGCTTTGTGATTGGTTTATAAAATGTGCAAATCAGAATATGGCCTAGCAAATGTCAGTGCTGGTTATCAGGTTAAGTCACTGGTTACTCAGGCCTGGATTAGGGCCGGAGGGGCGTTTGTTTCCCTCAAGTTTTGGCAGGAGTATGGTACAATCAACTGAAAGTGGTTCTCTGGGCAAGTTTAAAATGTATTCACTTCTTTCATATACTCTCATAGTGGGCACGTTCCTTCTGAGACCTCTCAGTGGTTAAATTAATAAGCCGCTACCTTTGTCTCTGGTTTCATCTTCACTTCTTGAAGTCTGCCCTGCATAGCAGTGGGCAGGTAGTCAAAGCACTGAACAGCAGAGATAATGGCCATTGCTCTACTGTTTTAATGGCTAGCATTCTTTGATATCTCACAGACCTGTTAAAGCCGGTAGGTAATGGCTTTAGAAACTGTTATTTAGAAGTTGGGTAGAAATTCAGCATTTGAGGCTGCTGATTAAAAATAAAATGGGAGCATGGTGCGTAATACCTCCTATTACAGCTTCATTTAGCTAGAAAAAATACAAAGTGACATTTTCTATTGCATTAAAATAACTTTGTATGAGTTAGAATTTGCGGTTAACTTTTTAAGGAACTCTGAGAGCCAAGTAAGGCCCAGGTTTCAGACTGGCTGGTAGACAGGGCAGGCTGGCTGGTCCAAAAGGGCGATTGGAGCCCTGAGATATAAAGTCACAATATAGGCTTATTTAACAAGCTAATGCAAAGAGTGGGGAGGAAGGGTATACTTGTTATGGCTAGAGGGGTAAAGTTGCACAGTTCTGTTTGGTTTCTCACTGGGGACATTTCCCTTCACTTATTGTTGTGTCACACAGACAGGAAGTGATGACAATACTTCCCGACTGTTACAAGGTACCAAGAGAAAACTTGACATTGACAGAGGTTTTAAGTAGGGATGCACTGATACTAGTATCAGTATTGGTGCCGATACCGAGTATTTGGGCGAGTACTTGTACTTGCCCAAATGCTTCTGATGCCTGCCCGATAATGAAACTTCCAGTATCAGGAAGCAGGGCAGCCAGTCATTACATGCTGCCCGGCTTCCTTAATGGGACTTCCGGTATCGTTACCAATATCAGTACTTGTACTCGATACAAAAAAACAGTATCGGTGCATCCCTAGTTTTAAGCCTATCCTACTTTACATAACTGAGAAAGACTTGGTTCCATCTGAATTTTTGAGAAGACCAAGACCTCACTGCTGTCCATGCTCTTAGGAGTCAGCCTACAGAAGGTATAATAGGTGAAGAAGTTTTAAACTTGTCCAGAGAACACTTTAAAAAGTGGTTTCATTGAATATTACTCAGGATATGTCAAACCAATATAACAATCCAGAGAAATACAGTCAATAAAAAGAAGAAGAAATACAATAAAAAACTAAAACTGGTTAGTACTACTGTCTACATGTACCATAACATAGTGGTTAAAGTTGATAAAATGGCATATGTCACTTCACTTGAGTGAGTATTGGAAATACAGTATGAAACAAAGTTCTGCTTATACAAGTTAAAATCAGGTTGCAAGATCTCTGTACTATCTCCTAAATTGATTTAACAAAACTATACCATATGGCCAAACATTTGTGGACACCTGACCATCTCACCTATATGAGCTTGTTAGATATTCCATTCCAAAACCATGACATCAATATGGAGTCAACCCCCCTTCCCTCTCTTGGGGCTAAAACAACATCGACTCTTCTGAGAAGGCTTTCCATATGATTATGGAGTGTGTCTATGGGAAATTGTGCCCATTCAGCCAAAAGAGCATTTGTGACATCAGATACTGAATTGGGTGAGGAGATCTGGCTGACAATCGATGTTCCAATTCATCACAGAAAACTTGACAAAGGTGCTAACCCTACCCCACTATATCCAAAACTGAGAAAAGACTTGACTCCATCTAAATTTCTGAGCAGATTGAGAAGACCAAGACCTCACGCAGCCTTCTGCTTCCACTAAGGAGTCAGCCTACAGAAGGCTCAGTAGGTGAAGAAATGTTAAACTTGTGTGGATAACACTTTAAAAAGGGGTTTTATTGGAATTAAATATTTTCCTGGGATATTTCTCTATCAGTATACTGTTCGTCAAGCCAAAATAACAATCCAGAGAAATGTATATACAGTGAAAACTGGTTAGTACTACTGTCTACATGTACCATAAAATAGTGGTTACAGTTTACAAAATGGCATATGTCACTTGATTTGGGTATTGTAGATATGAAACAAAGTTATGCTTTTATAAATTACAATCCGGTTGCAAAATCTCAGAACAATCTACTAAACTAATTTAACAAAACTATACCATATGGCCAAACTTTTGTGGAAACCTGACCATCTTACCTATATGAGCGAGGCTAAAACACCATCCACTTGTCTGAGAAGGCTTTCTACAAGATTTTGGAGTGGGAATTTGTGCTCATTCAGCCAAAAGAGCATTTGTGAGATCAGATACTGAATTTGGGTGAGAAGACCTGGCTAACAATCAGCATTCCAATTCATCCCAAAGGTGTTCAGTAGGGTTGAGGTCAGGGCTGTGTGAAGGCTGCTCAAGTTCTTTCTACTTTAACTCAATACAATATGTCTTTATAGACCTGGTGTTGTGCACAGGGGTGCAGCCATGCAGAAAAGGTAGATGTTGATAGAACTACAGAAGATTTTACATTCAGATTTTATTGAGTGTGGTCAGCTTAGAGGGAACACTGTATATTCAATGAGAACATGTTTTAAGTTAAAATTGCAATATATAGTAATATTGATGCAACTTTGAGTTTTTACATGTTTACGCAATATGTTTGTTACTATATTAAATATAGTGATTTCAATGTCAGTTTCCAATCCCTTTAACTTCCTTCTTAATGACTGCTGAGAAAAGATATCTGTCAAATAGGGAGTGTACTGGTTTCAATGAACTGGCTGACCCACAGACTCATATTGGAAGAAGAAGCAGCAACACAGCCATTGTGTAGCACTGTCCCTCATATACATATTTACCTACACATTGAAATGATCAAAATCAATGTTAAAACACACTGGGAGGGATTTATCAAAACTGGAGCAGACAAAATCTGGAGCAGTTGCCTATGGCAACCAATCAGCTTCTCTCTTCAGTTTGTTTAGTTAAGCTTTAAAAAAGGAAAGGTGGATGCTGATTGGTTGCCATGCACAGCTGCTCCAGATTTAGTCTGCTCCAGTTTTGATAAACTCCCCATTGATAATAATTTTTTCATGTATATCTAAGCATTAAAAAGACTATGCATTCCCTCTAGCAACCCTGAGCACTTAAATAAAGCAGTCCCTTCACTTTGAGTGGCCTCTGAAAACACAAGAAAATGCCCCCACACACATAGCATATTCATCTCTGCATGTGGGTGAGCTATAGTTCAGGTAAGTTTTCCTACCAAACTCATCACACTATGTCTGCACTGAGTTGGGTTTGTGCACAGGAGAGCCTCCATCCTGAAGCTGAAAATGTCTGTGCCCTGGTGTTCCAATTTATACCAAAGGCATCCCTACCAAATACATCAAACCATGTCTTTATGAAGCGGGTTTTATGCACAGGGGCGCAATCATTCTGGAAGAAAGGGCCTTCCTCAAACTGTTACCACAAGGTTGAAAGTGCAGGATTATCTAAAATGTCTTTGTATGATGTAGTATTATCAGGACCCTTCACTGGAAACACTTGAACTCAACCCTTGGAGGGGTGTCCACATACTTTAGGCCATATAATATATTCTACAGTACTTTTACAGGGGAATTTCACCATTCAACATCTTCTTGGGAGGAGGAACTGATGATAAACTGATGTTAGCATTGCAGTCACACAAGCAAAGCAATGTCGGACCCTTTTAGACAGAAGCCTATTTAAATACTTCCCCCGCCATAAAAAAAACTGGAGTAAAGAAAAAGAAAAACAAAGAAAACCCACTTAACGTGGAAATAACTTAAACATTCCTAGCAGAGAGAATTCCATTAGAACCCGGGACACCAGCACTCCATTCCATGTCAGCAATGCTAACCACTTCAGACAAGCACTGCTGGTGCCATCATTCTTAAAAGGTTTGACCGCTTTCAACTGAAATTCTATAGAAGTATATAGTAACAACCCATAGTAAAAATATTTCCTTCATCCAATCCACCTTCATGAGTAATTTCCTAGATACCTGGCACTGTGTCAGGAACTCCTGGGAATGTGCCAGGAAAACAAGTTTTCCATTTTCAAGAAGGAAAAGAAAAAATAACTTTCCTTGCTTAAAAAAAAAAAAAAAGCTCTTCTTCTCTACATATATATTTTATGGCATTTTACAAATGTTACTATCTGCTTCTGCTAACACAGGGGTGGACAATTCATTATGCAATTTTGAAGCATTTGTCTGGAATTTCATGTTAGAATAGATTTAAAGCCAAATATTTTTTTTCTTTTAAGAAGAAGCTAAAAACTTACTATTGCAGTAGGGCTACCCCTGCACTGCAATGGCTAAAGGAGAGCTATGAGGTGAGTGCTTTTCACTCATCCTCATAGTTCTAGCCGACCTGTGACAATGAGACTGTCACAGGTTGGCTCAGTAGATCGGAAAGTGAGCGAACACATACTGCCGTTCGCTCACTTCTCGATCCTGTCACGGCTCTCTGCTGTGACAGGGGAGGGGCTGGATTCCCCCCTCCCGGCTCCGATCCGCCAGCGTTGACTTGCGGAACGGACGGGGGAGGGGGCTGGTACAGCTGGCTCTGCCTCTAGATAGGCAGAGCCAGCTGTCACTCACACAGCTGGGCGGATCCAGACATAATTGTAGCTCGCGGTATACTGAGCTTAGGGTGATGGGAGGATGCTAGTTTGTGTCCTCCCGTTACCCTAAGGTGAACTATGGGGAAAAGCCCTAACCCCATAGTTCTCCTTTTAAGTGCTCATTTTTTCTAGGGTAGAGGTGATAGTCACCCGCACACCAAGGTCCAATGCATCAACACATCCTTTTATTGAAGGCAGATACACATGGCAACACAAGTATGTTGTCACTATGTTATTTTCCTGATGAAGGGACATCGATAGGTTCCAAAACGTTGCTCATACTTATGATGCCATGTGTGTCTGCCGTCAATGAAAGGCAGACATATTGATATATTGATACATTGGAACCTTGGTGTGCGGGTGACTATCTCCTCTACGTTTGAATATGTGCGGCGCCAACCGCACGTCTTTCCAGCACCCTTCTACATACTACAGTGGGATTTTGGTCTGGTGTGCAAGGGCATATCTGTTTTTTGTGGCGCACACTTCACCTGATTCTCAGTCCCGTCAGGCTGCTAGACACTGCTTGTCTCCTTTTCGCAGGTCTTACCACTTCCCTTACTTCTATTTCTCATGAGAGCATTTTACTTGGATTTCATTACATATGTATTAGATATCACTGGCTACACTATGGCGCATGTTTGTGCTGCTCTCTTTTTCTGATTTTGTTTGGCAGTTTTCCTTGGAGCTCTTATCCCTCGCCCATAGAACTGGCTGCATTGCTTCTCCATAAAATAAAGTGGATCCCTATTTATAGGACAACCTCTGCCTTACATTTAATCATTGGATTTTTTATATGCTTGTTGTAACCATTTTGGAATATAATTTGTTTATTTCACTATCCGTCACCTATTACTATCACCATTCTCTTCGTTTTCTTGTGCAATAGAAAAATACTTGTTCCTAACATTAGGAATCCAGCCATGTTTTGATTGCTAACATTCAGAATCCCGCACTGCCACCTGTAATCAGTATAAAAATGTGCGGGGCCAACAGTGGTGTTATGTGAATCCAAAAATAAAAAAACAGCAATTTTTTGTATTTAAGCTTTTATTGCTGTATGTCTTACCCTTTCCCAGGGACATCCCTATGATGAGACGGCCTGAGGCTGTTGCTTTGGGTCACGTGGGGGGTGGGGGGCATGGGCAGGCAGGCACACTGCAATGTTTGCTGTGTGCCTGCAGCCCCCTTTTCAGCCAGAAAATCCCAGGTTGCTAAGAGCCAGGTGGGGAGATGTGTAAGGGCCATTCACATCTCTCCACCCAGCTCTTAGCAATCTGGGACGCTTTTGCCTGCGTCCCGCCAAGCTCCTGGCAATGAGTGATGTTGCCCGCAGGAGATCTGCAGGACGCCGGCAAGAGCATACCATGTTGCTAAGAGCTGGGCAAGGAGATGCAAAGCCCTTACACATCTCCCTGCCCGGCTCCTAGCTGAGTCACTCTCCACCACCCTCCCACCAAGGTGCCTCAGGTGCCAAAAGGGAAACATTTTGCAGTTGCCACCAGAACATAAATAAGTGGGAAATCTCCCCTGTTCTGGTGAAAGCAATTGTGTAAAAGGGGATTTCTCTTCCATTTGGAGATATCCTCTTACATCGTAATGTTTTGTCAAGACAGGGATTGAAGGGCAATTTCCCAAACAGGACAAGGACTACTTAAGAAAATCCTGACACCTTTCCCTACACTACTTAAACAAAAGTTTGGCTACAGATAAACGTTAATGTTTCAGTATCCTCCCACTCTACTACGTGTGCATTGACAAGACTCACCTGCATCCTTTCAGTGCCATTGTCCAAATCATTGTAAGACAAATGATAACGGACAGCACAGCAATTGATATCCACAGTGTCATGTCTCTTTTCCTTGGACCTTGAGTGCACAGAACAATGGGTCAATCAATAATGGGTCAGAAACAGCAGTCATAATATACAGTTTATCAAAATGACACATTGATATGTATTAGAAGAAATCTAATATAATGTGTATGTCCAGCCAAATGTTTTCTTAGTTGCAAATAGCAATTGAAACTTGACAGGTGTTCTAACCTTCTCCACTCTATGGGGGGGGGGGGGAAAGTTTTAGGCTTGACATACAGTTAAATAGAAATTGTATATCTAACACAATACAAAAAAAAAGAACCCTACCACAGATGTTTAAATACATCATTTTATCATAAATGGTAAAGATAAATGTTATATATAATCACAGATTTAATGATTTAATTAAGACCTCCTGCTCTCTAGCTCTTTAATTACCTCCTCCCATGCTCGCCTCCAGGACTTCTCCAGAGTGTCCCCCATCCTCTGGAACTCCTTACCCCATTCTGTCCACTTATCTCCTATGCTGCCCACCTTTAGGCGATCCTTAAAAACCCATCTCTTTAGGGAAGCCTATCTCATCTCAACATAACTGCCCTTTTACTTCTTCCAATAACTCAATCTAAACAATTATTACCTTTTGTATCACTTGCCCCTCCTACTAGATTGTAAGCTCTCACGAGCAGGCCCTCCTAACCCTATTGTACTGAAATTGTATTGTATTGTAAATTGTATTGTAACTGTACTGTCTCCTCCATTTTGCAAAGCGCTGAGCAACTTGTTGACGCTATATAAATCCTGAATAATAATAATAATTATAATAGTTATATAAAATAATACAATCATATTTATAAATTAACATTTTTTTATTTTCATGATAAAATATTGCATATAATATTAGTATATAGACAGTATATACTACATAAACATCTGTGATAGTAACGCAAGGAGGTTTTTTACTTTTCTGTTTCAGAGATTTATTTACCTAATGGCTGCAGATGTGATCTGGGGTGCTGAACTATGTCAAATGTGTTTGTAGTGTATAGTCACTCACAAGACAAACATTTCCCAGCACTTATACCAGCAAGCCAACAAAAAAAACCCTAAATCTATACTGTTTAAACAATTTGGATTTAAAAAATTATTATTTTTTCATTTTTTTAATGTTACATTATAAATGATTTTCTTGCCTACACTTGAATAAAAACGGAAACGGTGCAAGCTGAATACGACAATTATTTATGTATCATTCAGAGTTTTCAGGTCTTCGATTAAAGTTATACGGAGGTCTCCAAGCTGCCAGGCACTTCAAGCTGCTGACAATGATAAATTCTGGTTTGAGCAGCGATACAATGGTTTGATGGGATTTTATAATAAAAGTATCATTTTTATTTTATTGGAATGGGTAAGTACTCTAAAGCAAGAAAAGTTCTTTAAAAAGAAAGTGGTACCCAGTCAATTATTTTTGTTCATATTAACAGTGTTTATTGTATGAGCTTCATCAGCTGATGTGAACCCCTAATCATATGTAATATATATTAGGGCAATACCTCCACGAATCTTTATATAGCTTTCCTCGCTCCATTCACTCCAGAGCTTGTTGCCAGTGTTGCATCGGACCTGAAACACATAGTCCTCTCCGGGAGTCAAGCTAAACAACTTCAGCTTGGTTTGATGGTCAACAACATGCTCCTACAAGGTAAGATGATGAAATGATCAGCATCCTCTTGCAAAAAAAACACTGTACCATGTGTATCAAAGCACGAGTATTCACAAAGGTCTGTATTTCCCACATCTACCAATTAAATTTGACCTTTTAGATGTCAATTGTTCTTGGTACTATATACCAATGTTCTTTGTCTTCATTCTTTCTCCTGGGTCCCTCCTACTCCTAGCAAAGCTTCCTCCACATCCAAACATAGGTACCATAAACTTAACTTCGGTCCAAGAATCAGGTCAAGTGTTGCTACGTAAAACAGTTGGCTCTGAAACTGACTTGTAAGTCATTTAAAAATTATAAGGTCCTCTTTACAATAAAAAAATCAGTAAGCCACACTAAAGATCTAAATGGAATCACCTTTACAGGAAAAAAGGATGGAGTGTTTTCCTCATTTCAGTCATTTAAATGAGAATTATGAGGCGAGTGAAAATCACTCAGCCTCATAATCTGAGCCGACCTGTGACAATGAAACTGTCACAGGTCGGCTCAGTAGATCGGGAAGTGAGCGAACACATACCGGCGCTCGCTTACTTCTCGATCTATCCGTGCAGGGAGGCGTGACTTTCACTCACGGCTCCCTGCAGGGATCCCCCCTCCCCTGTCCGATCCTCCAGCGCTGATTGGTGGAACGGACAGGGCGGGTACAGCTGGCTCTGCCTCTAGATGGGCAGAGCCAGCTGTCACTCACGCAGCTGGGCGGATGCAGACAGAATTGTCGGGATCCGTTCCAGCTGCGGCGTCTCAATATACCGCGAGCTGTAGCTCGCGGTATACTGAGCTTTGGGTGACGGGAGGACGCTAGTTTGTGTCCTCCCGTTACCCTTAGGAGAACTATGGGGAAAAACACTGACCCCATAGTTCTCCTTTAACTGTGTGTGGAACCTTAGAGCTTTCTACTGACAACATACCAGTAAGCTATCTGACCCCCTGGAGTACCAGCTTTGCCAGATTTACACACGGCACCTTCTGGTTGCAAAAGAGTAAATATACGATTATATTACAAACGTATCTGTAATATTTTAGAATGATCTGAGAGTAAATCTAAAGAAAAATGCATTAAAACAGAAAATGTATTTTTGGCCAGATAACATTTCTCTGATATAAAATATTGGGCTCTCACCTCCCACACATGCTTCTTCTCTTCCTTCAGGCGGACCTGATACTGAAGTGTGATCCAGCCCATTTTCACATCGGCCTTCTCAGGTGGGACCCATGTCACCAACAGGTAAGGTAGGCTGGCCTTTTCGGTTTCGTAGTCAAGGGTCAAATTTCTGGGTGGGTAGGTTTTCACTAAAGGAAATAAAGTCTATTATTTAATATAGAGAAGCCCTAAAACACACGCGGAAATTAGTAAAGAGAAACAAACACAAGAAAACTGCCTAAGAGTGCAGGGAGAGTGACCACTTTTCAGGTTCGGACCTCTTGTGCATGTGAAATGAGCTAGTTTATAATTTGGCCCTGCTAGTCTCCTGACTAGTGAACTCTGATGCCTGGATATTTACAGTCTTGTCAGCTGGTGATTAAAGCCCAACTCTGGGCTTGGGTGTCACATACCTGTCTGATCAGCACCTGTTCGGGGATTGAACCTGGATCTCTGGTGCAGAACCTAGCCATGCAGCCACTGGAAGGACTTGGTTTCTGCTTCCGCTTCTTTGTACTCAGTAACTCTCCTTGTGGACACATTGGCTCCACCTGCCATCCAGCTGTACAAAATCTGCAATTAACTCAGGCTTTAACCACTTGCTGACCGGGGTGTTTATACCCCCTTCCTGTCCAGGCCATTTTTCAGTATTCAGCGCTGCGGTACTTTGACTGACATTTATTCCGTCATGCAACGCTGTACTGAAAAACATTTTATACCATTTTTTGGGGACAGATAGAGCTTTCTTTTGGTGTTATTTAATCACCACTGGTTTTTTTTTTAACTAATATAATAAAAAAAGTACAGAAAATTTTGAAAAAAAACCTGATCTCCCTACATTATGTTATAAAACATTTATTATTACCCAATTTTTTGGTAAAATATAAAAGACGGGGTCACGTCGGGTAAATAGACACCAAACATGTCAAGCTTACAAATTGCGCGCACCTGCGAAATCGCAAAAAAACTACCATACCCAAAATTGACCATAGCCGACACTTTAAAAGCTTTTACCGCTCATCAGTTTAGTGTTATCAGTGATTAATGGCCCTAGAATTATTGCTCTCACTCCGACGTTCGCAGCGATATGTAACATGTGCGGCGCAATGTATGTAATCGTCGTTTTCGCATGTAGGCGGACTCGACGCATGTTTGCGGGTGCATGTGGGGGCGGGGGACTTTAATTTTTTTTTTTTATTGCTTTGATATGTGACTTTATATTTAATTTTTTTTTAACTTTAATTTTTTGTAAACATTTTTTCCCCACTTAACTTTATTGCTATCACAAGCTCCCTATGTGATAGCCAATTTGCAGTGACAGGTCCTCTTTATGGAGACATCAGGGGTCTTTAAGACCCCCTAATGTCACCTAGGGACCCCCAGAGAAGCTGATGAAGCAGAAACAGCCAGTTTCTATACCGGAGAGTGACACTGAATGCAGGAAGTGATGTAATACACATCACTGCCTGCATTCCGAAGAGGAGGAGGAGATCAAACGGAGCTCGTGTACTCACACCAGGAGCAGCGAAGCCCGGGATCGCCGGCTGCGGCGGAGGGGGGGGGCACACCCGCACGCAATTACAAGAGATCGGGCGTCTCTACAGACGCCTGAACGGTTGTATGTAAACAGCCATCTCTGGCTGTTTACATAGAAAGCTGATTTCTAGCGACGGGCACGTGCGGAACGGGATGGGACGTCTAAAGAAGCCCACCCGCCCTCAAGAAGCCGCTGTCCGGCCGTTTAATTATAACGGCCGGTCAGCAGGTGGTTAAATACCAGACACTTCCTGTGCTCTGAGCCCGTTGATTTGGGTTAGTTTCCTGTGTGAGCCTATCTCTGTGTCGTTTGCTGGATTTACACCTTGAGTCTTGCATGTTTCCTGACTATTCTGCCTGCTGATTTTGTACCTTGCTGCCCATTTGTGCCAAGACCTCTGCTCCGCCTCACGACTTCTCTCCTCGATCCCGACTTTGTACCTTGCTGCTAGACTGTTGCCGACTCTGCCTGCCTGGCCACATCTTCTCCTTATTCTCAGTTTAAGCTCCACTTCGGACTACTACTATACTACTATAGGTGCGTTTCATTGGGATCCTTCTGCTTATTTGCCCCCACCTCCCCATTGGAGAACCCCCTGACCATTAAAAAAAAAAAATAGCACTGAGTGAACCCTGAATACTACAGGCCGCTGCTCTCTGCATTATTCTCCTGTGAGTCCCAGAAAAATGCGATCTCAGCATCCAGTAGAATTTTTACCAGCACCTAAATGTTTGTGGGAATAGGGTGTACCTGCCATGAACACTATGGGGTGGATACACTAAAAGCAAAAATACTGTTCACTTTGCAAGGGAATGTTCCCTTAGCTTAGTGAATAAAAAACAAAACAGTATTTTTGATTGCACATGATTGGATGATGGAAGTCAACAGAACTTTTACCTCATTCATCAAGGAAAAATTCCCTTTGCAAAGTGAACAGCCTATTTGTCTTGAGTAAAGCAACCCGTACTGGTCAAGTTGACATCTACACTAGAATAAGTGGTAACATCTCTAAACTTGCCTGTATGGATCATATCTACTTTCTGTGTGGAAGAGTAAAACCTCTTTAGGAAAACTTAATGGTTCTGGGTTATCTTTATTGGGTAAAACTGATGACCATTATAGGTCAATGTCATTGATCAAATGTAGCCATGTGGCCATACACGATCAATGATGCCACAGCCTTCCGCCCCTTTGCTAATGTCCCCCTCCGCAGCTGAAATGGCGGCTGAGGAAGGAGCTTCCTTCCATGTTCGCAGGAGCCCAGGTTCGGATCAGCTTCTGCCCGAACATGAGCTCATCAATAGTTATTACCAGGCGCCCACAGCATGTGTAAAACACATATATGCATACACAGGAATATCGGCAATCATTTTATCCTTCTATAAAGGCAGCTTACAATGCATGTGTAAGCCAATACAGAGGCTTTGCCTACTCAAAATAACATGTATGTATTGTAGCTATATATTATGTAGCTATAAATAGACATAGGCTGTAGGATTGCAGAGCTTGCCAGCTAAGTCTGTTTATGAAGTATATCGGTGCAGGACGCTGGCTCAGGAACAGACAGTTTATCCATTAGCCGAGGTTGTGTTTCAGATGGTGACATTTTCTGAAAATGATTCACGCTGCAATAAAACCGACTCTTCATCTGTACACACCCGAGAATAAATAAAAATAAATCTCGAATTCTCATCTGAATCATTCAGATGTATAGCTTATGTGATTGTTTCATTGAACATTTACATTCCTTATAGGTTTGTGTGTTTTTATTCTTCTCTGATCACAGACTTATTCATTCCAGAGGCTGCTGTGGGCTGCACTGCACGTGCCAATAGTGTATTTTTTTCAATGATTTTTAGTAATTAATTTAATGTTTACACGAGACACATTCTTTTAGGTCTTTCAAATTTGTATTAGTTTGGCATCCAGTGTATCAGCAGCTGAATTTCATGTACAAATTTGCACATGCTTTCTAGATCACCAGATGCAATTGCAATTCCCTTCCACGGACTAGTAAAATAGGTTTAATGAAAAAAAGTATATTGTTTTCATTCATGTCATAGCAGACTTCCTCTGATGCAGTCAATGTACTAAGATACAGAAAGAGTGAAAACACTTGTATTATTGTGTATTATACACCTGTAAGTTTAGGTGTGATTAGGGATTCCTGCGTCAGGAATTTGTGTTTTCCTACAGCAGCAATTCCTAATCTGACATTTACAAGCGTCAACTGTCACCCATTCAACTTAATGGTCAGGTGGCTGCTGCATGTAAAAGCCTGCACGCCGCATATATGGTATGTGATATAATTACATGCAGTTAGAAAACAACTACTCATCCTGGATGCACGATTGTGTCCAGGGATAGTGTCAACTGATCATAATTATTCATAATTATTATAGAGCACAGCTGTGTGTCTCTATACCCCAACATCTGTAAAACCTCGGGGGACACAGGACAGGAGAAGGAAGGCCTCTTACTAGCTGTAATCCTTGTTGTGCCAGGCTTGAGCAACCCTGCCCACCACTGGGCAGTGATGACATGAAAACCTGAATCCTGCAGGATACGGCACCTTTGGCTTTTTATTAAGAGATTCAAAATGGAGTTGGATAAATCAGTAGCAGAAAACCCCTTTCGGACCGTTTCACATTAGCAGCGCGGCCCTACTAAGTGGCCAGAGGTGTAAGTAACTTGTTACAAAGCATCTCACGGTTTACCTTTTTTTTTTCCCAAAGTGATATTTGATTAATTTAATTTCTATTCATATGTGCAACGCGCTGCACTGAAAAAGCATACTGTATGTCCTACTTTTTCTCAGTGCACACCTCTGCAGTTCCATGGTATGAACTGACATCTCGGCAGGGCAGCCATCACAAATTTTGGGGCCCCTTACACAGCTTTAGGCCTGGGTAATGTCATTCAAAGTACCGCAGCGCTAAATACTGAAAAATGGCCGGGACAGGAAGGGGGTGTAACACCGCGGGTTTCAAGTGGTTAAAAAATGTTTTTTGAATTTTTTATTGTTACTTTAATTTTTAAAAAAAATTTTCACACTCAGCTTTATTGCTATCACATAGGGAGATAACAAGTCCCCTATGTAATAGCAAATATAATGTGACAGGTCCTCTTTATGGAGACATCAGGGGTCTTGCAGACCCCTAGTGTCACCTAGGGACCCCAAAGAAGCTGATGAAGCCGAGATCTGCTTCATCGGCTTCTTCTTCTGGCTCTAGGACCCGGAGACTGTGTACAGTGACACCAGAAGTGATGAAATGCACCTCACTTCCGATGTCCAGTGATCGGAGGAGAGATCCGTGGCTAGAAGCTGCTGATCTCTCCTCCGATCTGTCAGTGGAGACCCTCCACGCCGGTCCCGGGCTCACACGAGGGACAGATGAGCCCGGGAAGCTGACGGCAGCACCGACGGCTGCAGAGGGGGACACGGCGCCGTATTGTACAAGCGATCCAGCGTCTATACAGACGCCGGATCGCTTGTATTTAAACAGCAATCATGGTTAAAAAAAAATACACATATCACACACTCATTAAAAAACACACACATAGCTTCATTAAAAAAAATAAAAATACACACACATTAAAAACACACAATAAAACACACTCACAACTAATAATAGTTCATAAAAAATGTCCCCCTCTCCTGCTTACCTGTTTTGCAGGAAGGGGGGCTGCATCCCTGGGCTTCAGTGAAGAATCAGTGTGCTCTGCACACTGGCTGGTGCAGACATACTAATCGCTCCCTGCATGTTAGCAGAGGCACCACGAGGGAGCGATCAGTATGGTCTGCATCAGCAAGAGATGCAGATCATACTGATTCCCCACCAGGGAATGATTTTCATTTAATATATATACTGCTACTCGCGGCGGCCATCTTTAAAAACCTAATGTGCAGTGGACACAGGGGGGACACCGGAGGCTCGCACAGCATCCGAGGATACGATGTGGAGTGTGCGGGCCCCGGCTTCCTACGGTGCTGAGGGGCTCGGCCGCCTTCAGTCACCTGTACGGCCGTCATCCAGGTAAGGTTTGCGGGCCCCTGAGGCTGGGCGGGCCCCTTTCTTGAGTGTCGGCCGTACCCCCCTAACGGCGGCCCTGCATCTCGGGACAACATGTGTTGGGACTACATTGGGCATCTGGGCCCTTAAGCCACATTAGGCGCAGTTCACAAAAGCTAAAACATCAAGATAACGTCTTTTATTTTTGGATAAAGTGACAGTTATTGTTAGCCCAGTCCAATGATATTTGAAAATCACAGTCACATGACTGTAAGATAAGATACTGAATTGAGCCTATTGTGTATTCTCAACCATTCAAGACTAGTTCACGTTTTCTAGAACAGGAAAATGTGACGTACGAACAGCCTTAGTTTTTTTTTTTTGGTTTTGTATCCTCTTACCGATATCCACCACCTCAAACCGAAAAACAGTGGACACGTTGGATCCCAGTGCGTTTGTTGCTTTAACGACGACAAAGTAGTACACCCAGACAGAGGAATGGGCTTTATCAAAGAAGCAGGTGTTTGGCCCTGAAGAGTGATAGTCCGGGCACTCCTTTTCTACCTTACTCCTGAAACACAAATGCAGAGATATACAATGTTTAAAGTGGACTTTGCAGTAGGAATTCAAGATCCTCTTACAATATTAGAGCCACTCCCCCATAATAAAAAACACATTTTACTTAAAGTGACACTAAACTCAGGAGTTAAACCTTAAAAATATACTCAAGTACCTTAACTATTGCCAAAAATGTATCTTATTTGTGTATCACTCGGCTGTAGATCCTCAAATGAGCTCTGAATTGGTGCCGACGCTGTCCTTCCTTCTGGAGGGTGGCTACATTTGTTCCCTATGTCCCTGTGTGTGCTGTAAAGAAGTCACCGCTCCAAGCTCGCTCCTGTGATGGACTACAATCTGAATTCAAATGAGTAAACTAAATGTGAGATTGTAGTCCATCACAGGAGCGAGCTTTGAGCAGCATTTTCTCCGCTTGCACTGCACTGGAACGGAGCGCATTCCTGTACCTCGTGTTCCGATGCGGGCGATCGCACTGCGGGCGGGGGGCGTGTCTGTGGTGCCATTGACATGAATTGCACTGCCACGCCCCCTCCCGCCCCAGAACGGGGCCCAGCTTGATCTATGCTCGAACTGTGCCGGAACGCACTGGATATGGTGTGACTGGGCCCTTAAACATCAAGGAGAAGCATCCATTGTAAGTGATTTCATCAGTATGATTACATATGAAGAGCCACGGACAGAGTCAGCCAGTCATTGATTTGTACATGCTTCCTATCCGCAGCTAATCAGAAACACCTGGCCGTACCTGCCGCAGAAATACACTGATCTAGTCAGTGTATGGCCATGAATGGCTGTGTAAATCAGCTCTGATTGTCCAATCGTACTGCTGCACATACTCAGCCTTGTGTATACTCCATGTTGCTCCAGTTTTAGTTTGCACAGAGACACTCCCAGGTACACAGCCACATGTTTCTCTATATTTGGTGCTGGGTATTTTCATGTCCTCGCAGCTAAATGAGGTAGCAAAGGGAAAAATAGTATGTGCTTCTGGGGGGTCCAGGGGCACTAAAGAAGAACTCAGGGATTTAAAAAAAAAAAAAAAAAAAACGTATCCTTGCAGTGGGGCAACCCCTGCAATGCAAAGGCTAAGTGCTTGTTTTGTCTAGGGGGACTTAAATAAAGCAAATATACTCACCTGATCCTTGGTCCCATTGAGCTGCTAGACCGGTCCCTGCAGCCTCTTCTCCCCTGGGCTCTGGCGGTCTGTATAACTTTTATTATAACTTTTATTTTATTGGAATGGGTAAGTACTCTAAAGCAAGCAAAGTTCTTTAAAAAGAAAGTGGTACCCAGTCAATCATTTTTGTTCATATTAACAGTGTTTATTGTATGAGCTTCATCAGTTGATGTGAACCCCTAATCATATGTAATATATATTAGGGCATTACCTCCAGGAATCTTTATATAGCTTTCCTCGCTCCATTCACTCCAGTGCTTGCTGTCAGCCTTGCATCGGACCTGAAACACATAGTCCTCTCCGGGAGTCAAGCTAAACAACTTCAGCTTGGTTTGATGGTCAACAACATGCTCCTACAAGGTAAGATGATGAAATGATCAGCATCCTCTTGCAAAAAAAACACTGTACCATGTGTATCAAAGCACGAGTATTCACAAAGGTCTGTATTTCCCACATCTACCAATTAAATTTGACCTTTTAGATGTCAATTGTTCTTGGTACTATATACCAATGTTCTTTGTCTTCATTCTTTCTCCTGGGTCCCTCCTACTCCTAGCAAAGCTTCCTCCACATCCAAACATAGGTACCATAAGCTTGACTTCGGTCCAAGAATCAGGTCAAGTGTTGCTACCGTATGTAAAACAGTTGGCTCTGAAACTGACTTGTAAGTCATTTAAAAATTATAAGGTCCTCTTTACAATAAAAAAATCAGTAAGCCACACTAAAGATCTAAATGGAATCACCTTTACAGGAAAAAAGGATGGAGTGTTTTCCTCATTTCAGTCATTTAAAGGAGAATTATGAGTCGAGTGAAAATCACTCAGCCTCATAATCTGAGCCGACCTGTGACAATGAAACTGTCACAGGTCGGCTCAGTAGATCGGGAAGTGAGCGAACACATACCGGCGCTCGCTTACTTCTCGATCTATCCGTGCAGGGAGGCGTGACTTTCACTCACGGCTCCCTGCAGGGATCCCCCCTCCCCTGTCCGATCCTCCAGCGCTGATTGGTGGAACGGACAGGGCGGGTACAGCTGGCTCTGCCTCTAGATGGGCAGAGCCAGCTGTCACTCACGCAGCTGGGCGGATGCAGACAGAATTGTCGGGATCCGTTCCAGCTGCGGCGTCTCAATATACCGCGAGCTGTAGCTCGCGGTATACTGAGCTTTGGGTGACGGGAGGACGCTAGTTTGTGTCCTCCCGTTACCCTTAGGAGAACTATGGGGAAAAGCACTGACCCCATAGTTCTCCTTTAACTGTGTGTGGAACCTTAGAGCTTTCTACTGACAACATACCAGTAAGCTATCTGACCCCCTGGAGTACCAGCTTTGCCAGATTTACACACGGCACCTTCTGGTTGCAAAAGAGTAAATATACGATTATATTACAAACGTATCTGTAATATTTTAGAATGATCTGAGAGTAAATCTAAAGAAAAATGCATTAAAACAGAAAATGTATTTTTGGCCAGATAACATTTCTCTGATATAAAATATTGGGCTCTCACCTCCCACACATGCTTCTTCTCTTCCTTCAGGCGGACCTGATACTGAAGTGTGATCCAGCCCATTTTCACATCGGCCTCCTTAGGTGGGACCCATGTCACCAACAGGTAAGGTAGGCTGGCTTTTTCGGTTTTGTAGTCAAGGGTCAAATTTCTGGGTGGGTAGGTTTGCACTAAAGGAAATAAAGTCTATTATTTAATATAGAGAAGCCCTAAAACACACGCGGAAATTAGTAAAGAGAAACAAACACAAGAATACTGCCTAAGAGTGCAGGGAGAGTGACCACTTTTCAGGCTCGGACCTCTTGTGCATGTGAAATGAGCTAGTTTATAATTTGGCCCTGCTAGTCTCCTGACTAGTGAACTCTGATGCCTGGATATTTACAGTCTTGTCAGCTGGTGATTAAAGCCCAACTCTGGGCTTGGGTGTCACATACCTGTCTGATCAGCACCTGTTCGGGGATTGAACCCGGATCTCTGGTGCAGAACCTAGCCATGCAGCCACTGGAAGGACTTGGTTTCTGCTTCCGCTTCTTTGTACTCAGTAACTCTCCTTGTGGACACATTGGCTCCACCTGCCATCCAGCTGTACAAAATCTGCAATTAACTCAGGCTTTAACCACTTGCTGACCGGGGTGTTTATACCCCCTTCCTGTCCCGGCCATTTTTCAGTATTCAGCGCTGCGGTACTTTGACTGACATTTATTCCGTCATGCAACGCTGTACTGAAATACATTTTATACCATTTTTGGGGGACAGATAGAGCTTTCTTTTGGTGGTATTTAATCACCACTGGGTTTTTTTTCTTTACTATATAATGAAAAAAGTACCGAAAATTTTGAAAAAAAAAACCTGTTCTCCCTACATTATGTTATAAAACATTTATTATGACCCAATTTTTTGGTAAAATATAAAAGACAGGGTCACGTCGGGTAAATAGACACTATACATGTCAAGCTTTAAAATTGCGCGCACCCGCGAAATCGCAAAAAAGCTACCATACCCAAAATTGACCATAGCCAACACTTTAAAAGCTTTTACCGCTCATCAGTTTAGTGTTATCAGTGATTAATGGCACTAGAATGATTGCACTCACTCTTATGTAAACTTTTTTTCCCCACTTAACTTTATTGCTATCATATAGGGAGCAAACAAGCTCCCTATGTGATAGCCAATTTGCAATGACAGGTCCTCTTTATGGAGACATCAGGGGTCTTTAAAACCCCTAATGTCACCTAGGGACCCCCAGAGAAGCTGATGAAGCAAACAGCTGCTTCACCAGCTTCTCTCCGGTTTCTGTACCGGAGAGTGACACTGAATGCAGGAAGTGATGTAATACACATCACTGCCTGCATTCCGAAGAGGAGATCAAACGGAGCTCATGTACTGAGCTCCGTTTGATCTCCGGCCGCAGAGCTGCTGTGCTGGTCCCGGGCTCACACTGGGAGCAGCGGAGCCCGGGATCGCCAGCACCGACTGCGGCGGACGGGGAGGCACATACCCGCACGCAATTACAAGCGATTGGGCGTCTCGCCAGACGCCTGAACGCCTGTATGTAAACAGCCATCACTGGCTGTTTACATAGAAAGCTGATTTTCTGTTCGTGCGCGCCGCCTAACGGCGGGCACGAGCGGGACGGGATGGGACGTCTAAAGAAGCCCACCCGCCCTCAAGAAGCCGCTGTCCGGCCGTTTAATTACAACGGCCGGTCAGCAGGTGGTTAAATACCAGACACTTCCTGTGCTCTGAGCCCGTTGATTTGGGTTAGTTTCCTGTGTGAGCCTATCTCTGTGTCGTTTGCTGGATTTACACCTTGACTCTTGCCTGTTTCCTGACTATTCTGCCTGCTGATTTTGTACCTTGCTGCCCATTCGTGCCAAGACCTCTGCTCTGCCAGCACCTTGCTGCTAGACTGTTGCCGACTCTGCCTGCCTGGCCACATCTTCGCCTTATCCTCAGTTTAAGCTTTCAAAATGCTGGTGTGAACCGGTCCTAAAGGGGTTTTCCTGGTTTGGTGCCCCGGCTGCAATAGACAGTGACTCACTCCTGTCTCTCAGGCTTAACTGTAGTAGACAGGGACCGCTGCCGTTGTGTTCGGCAATATCCGCACCTGGTTTGATGGGTCTATTTCCTTCGGAGGCTGTGGAGATTCTTTGTTTTCGTTCTCACCCGAACGTGTAAGGGTCAACAAAGGGTGTCCTGGGAAGCTGAAACACACGCTATCCTGACGCGTTTCCCCCCGATGGCCGGGGCTTCTTCAGAGGGGCGTGTCTATTGCAGCCGAGGCACCAAACCAGGAGACAAAGGCGAGCCAATGCCAGTGTGATTACACACAGCTCCCATCCCCTGCCGTGTCACCGGGCACACTGCTGTGGAAACCCCACCACACTCCACTCTACAGTGCGGCCGCTTATGTTGGGAACCCTTTTGGAGGCTCCCCTTCTGGGGTTGAAACCCCTATTTTGCACAGTGGTGTGAGTCCAATTGAACGGGGAGGCAAGCACTTATGGAACTTCAGATTCACCAATGAAATAGATCCTATGGAGTGAAACTGCTGTATAAGGATACATTCTTTCCAAAACAACTACATGCATGTATCGTTGTGGGATCTAACCAGGATTATCTTTTTACCGGTTACGTACAATGTGAGTACAGCTCCTTTTTTCTATTTTTGATATATCATTATCTTACTCACATCAGAGACTTCCTGCCCCGTAGGAGATTCAAATGTTCAGTACCCGTATCATTATATTCAGGTGATTCCAGGGAAGCGTTTTTTAATTGTTTTTAAATGTCGTGTTATAGGTGTCTTTATAAGTATAGTGTTGACAACCATTAAACTTTGTTATAATATATTACTCATTGTGATCTATTTACTAGACCATCTCCACTTTTTAGGGATTTCTGTTTACAGGGGACTGTACTTTTTTTGAATAAGTGTATTGAAACCCTAGAATTTGGTCATTACTATATATTTTTACTCAGCGTAAAGCTCCTGTGTGTTCCCCTTTTTTCTTGAAATACTTGTCAAAATGCCCTGTTTTTTTCCGCCCTCACCCTGCTGGCGGCTGCCTGACTTGCCTTGCGGTAGCGCCGGGCCTGACTGCATGCCCTACTTTTTCTTAGTGCACACCTCTTCAGTTCGATGGTATGAACTGACATCTCGGGACAACAGGACATCATTGCTTTTTCTATGTGTTGGGACTACATTGGGCATCTGGGCCCTTAACGCACATTAGGTTCAGTTCACAAAAGCTAAAACATCAAGATAACGTCACTTATTTTTTGATAAAGTGATAGTTATTTTTAGCCCAGTCCAATGATATTTGAAAATCACAGTCACATGACTGTAAGATAAGATACTGAATTGAGCCTATTGTGTATTCTCAACCATTCAAGACTAGTTCACGTTTTCTAGAACAGGAAAATGTGACGTACGAACAGCCTTCGTTTTTTTTTTTGGTTTTGTATCCTCTTACCGATATCCCCGATCTCAAACCGAAAAACAGTGGACACGTTGGATCCCAGTGCGTTTGTTGCTTTCACGAAGACAAAGTAGTACATCCAGAGATAGGAATGGGCTTTATCAAAGAAGCAGGTGTTTGGCCCTGAAGAGTGATAGTCCGGGCACTCCTTTTCTACCTTACTCCTGAAACACAAATGCAGAGATATACAATGTTTAAAGTGGACTTTGCAGTAGGAATTCAAGATCCTCTTACAATATTAGAGCCACTCCCCCATAATAAAAAACACATTTTACTTAAAGTGACACTAAACTCAGGAGTTAAACCTTAAAAATACATTCAAGTACCTTAAAGTGACATTAAACCCTCAGATTTTTTAACATAAAACAATACTGTAATGTGCGCCTTACTGTAATCCATGATTGTTTCCCTTCTCTTTGCTGCTCTTCCTTTTAAATCTGTATCTCTTCTCATGCTGAGCAAAACTTCTGTTTTGCAGCAGACTGCCTTGTCTCTGGAATGGATACATGGTGTCTGTGTGCAGGTTCACAACCTAAGCCAGCACTACAGGAAGAGGCACTCAGCTGCAAAGGGAAGTTCTCCCCCGGCATGAGAAGAGATAAGGATTTAAAAGGAAGAGCAGCAAAGAGAAGGGAAACTACCATGGATTACAGTAAGGCGCACATTACAGTATTGGTTTATGTTACAAAATCTGAGGGTTCAATGTCACTTTAACTATTGCCAAAAATGTATCTTATTTGTGTATCACTCGGCTGTAGATCCTCAAATCAGCTCTGAATTGGTGCGGACACTGTCCTTCCTTCTGAAGGGGGGCTACTTTTGTTCCCCATGGTCCCTGTGTGTGTTGTAAAGAAGTCACAGCTCCAAGCTCACTCCTGTGATGGACTACAATCTGAATTCAAATGAGTAAACTAAACGTGAGATTGTAGTCCATCACAGGAGCGAGCTTTAAGCAGCATTTTCTCCGCTTGCACTGCACTGGAACGAAGGGCATTGTGTTCCGATGCGGGCGATCGCACTGCGGGCGGGGGGTGTGTCTGTGGGGCCATTGACATGGATTGCACTGCCACGCCCCCTCCCGCCCCAGAACGGGGCCCAGCTTGATCTGTGCTCGTTTTTTTAGAATTTACTTTTTTATAGTTTTTATCTTATTATTGTTTATTTTCTATAATTATTTTCTTACTTTTTACTTTTTAATCACCTTTTTATTTATTTTTTATTTAATATTTTTTTTTCTTTAAATCAATTATCAGGACGTAAACATTCTGTGTATAGAGCCGCTCATCTGTCCCTGGCCGTAAGAAAAGTTCCTTTATTGATTACATATGAAGAGCCACGGACAGGGTCAGCCAGTCATTGATTTGTACATGCTTCCTGTCCGCAGCTAATCAGAAACACCTGGCCGTACCTGCCGCAGAAATACACTGATCTAGTCAGTGTATGGCCATGAATGGCTGTGTAAATCAGCTCTGATTGTCCAATCGTACTGCTGCACATACTCAGCCTTGTGTATACTCCATGTTGCTCCAGTTTTAGTTTGCACAGAGACACTCCCAGGTACACAGCCACATGTTTCTCTATATTTGGTGCTGGGTATTTTCATGTCCTCGCAGCTAAATGAGGTAGAAAAGGGAAAATGAGTATGTGCTTCTGGGGGGTCCAGGCACTAAAGAAGAACTCAGGGATTTAAAAAAACAAAAACGTATCCTTGCAGTGGGGCAACCCCTGCAATGCAAAGGCTAAGTGCTTGTTTTGTCTAGGGGGACTTAAATAAAGCAAATATACTCACCTGATCCTTGGTCCCATTGAGCTGCTAGACCGGTCCCTGCAGCCTCTTCTCCCCTGGGCTCTGGCGGTCTAAGGATCCGTGACATCATCCCATCTTATGCAGATCGATTGACTTGCATTAGACACGGGGACACCAGGGGACATTCCAAAGCCGGAGCACACGGAGAAAGAGGTGAGTGCTAATAGATTCAGGGGTGAGGACCAGGTGAGTATATCTTCTTTAATTGACCCCCCTAGAGAAAACAAGCAGGTAACCCTTGCAGTTGCAGGTAGCCCCAAAGCAAGGGTAAGTTTTTTTAAATTCCCAGAGTTCTTCTATAAAGCAAGCCTTTTGCTTTGCTCAGCCTGGGCAGACCACAGGTTTCCTTTAATTGTGGCTTAATGTGCATCAAGTAAGTTCCCCAGACATCCTGGAATCCAGCAAGCACACAGGATCACCGCTGCGGCACACAATGTCATTTGTTAAATGGTGATGATTATTCCCCATCAAACAAATGCTATTGAGCCAGGACGTTTCAAAGCCAGTTATATAGAAATCATTGTCCCCAGTCAGTCACCCAGAGAGTTTTAGATCTGCTAATAGCACCGAGATGGGCAGTCCTGTCACTTGTTGAGTTTAGCTCCATATCCTGTATACCTCTCTGAGTTTAATCTGATTGCCTAACATCATTTTGGCTGGGAACGTTATTATGTAATATGTCATTGATTTCGAACCCAGGCAGGAAACCATTGATCCGAAAAGATCTATGTAATGATTGAGCCACTTATGTATTGCAACAAACCTGCATAGTACTCTGCACAGCACAGAGGACACTCATTCATTGCTTTTCTTTAAATTAGAACTCAGATAGAGACACTGCTGAAATACACACACAATATGTGGATTGCTTTAACTGCCAAGGGATATACAATTCTGCTCAGCTACCCATGTGATTCGCACACCACTGCCACGTTGGACACACCTAGGGAGGTGACCTCAGCTACTACATTAAGGAATACAACCTGGTCACCTTCCTGCCCCCAGCCATGGACTGGACATTGAAAATAGCACATTGATAATGTCATCCCTCTGCATGTTAGAGTGACAGCACCTTGCAATGTCATAGAACTCTGATTGCCTACCATGCTGGCCCTTCGTCTCTCAGTCTGACTCCTGCTGTGCAGGAGATTACAGGAAGCGGATATAAAGACAGATCCTAGGAACATATATTATTCATAAATAAATGTAGTTCTTACAAGCTATGCAATCATACCGAAAGTGCCAAGTGATGATAACGTTTCATTTCCTATCACCCCCACCCATTTAGAAATACACAGTCCCTGAATGTGTGTTGCTATGCTAATCAATGTGTAAAGAAAATCCATATACACATTATACTATCTTACATAAAAGAAGGATGACAATAAAACAAGATAATAGAGCTTACCGTTCAGAGGAGTTATACTGATTTCAAAGAGCAGGACAAGGAGTACAGCCAAGGCCGAGACCTGCGCTGGCCGCATCCTGACCACCAGGCTGGAGATGTGCTCAGAATCAGATGATCAATGTTTCTCTGTAAAACATACAAGTAAATAAAACATCAGAAACAAGCACGCATGTTACTAATACCAGAGAAAGACGGTGTTATTACTATTATACAGGATTTATATAGCGCCAACAGTTTGCACAGCGCTTTACAATATAAGGGAGACATTACAATCACAATACAATTCAAGACAAGATGGTAAGGAGGGTCCTGCCCCTGAGGGCTTACAATCTAAAAGGGAGGGGCAAATGATACATGAGGTGGTAGCTGTGTGGGAATGAATTGTTTGAGAACGTGATGGTTGAATGGTTAGGTTGAGGTGGGATAGGTTTCCCTGAAGAGATGAGTCTTAAGGGATCGCCTAAAAAGGCAGTTAAGATAGATGGACAGGTTGGGATAAAGAGTTCCAGAGGATGGGAGAGACTCTAGAGAAGTCCCGGAGGCAAGCATGGGAGGAGTTGACGAGGGATCTGGAAAGCAGGAGGTCTTTGGAAGAGCGCAGGGGACGGATAGGGTGATACTTTGAGACAAGGTTTGAGGTATAGACGGGGGCAAAGTTGTGGATGGCTTTGTAAGTGGATACTCTAAGTACAAACGATATTTAAACCTACCCTTTAAAACACTCCTGTATGGGTTTGTAAAAAACAACCCTTTCAGCAAATACATACAAAGTGAGGCATTATTAATACATGTCGCCACAATGTCGCTTTGTGCCCAGGGGATGGAACAGAAAAGGACCTTCTCCAGACTGTTGGTACATGGTCGGTAGTGTACAAATACATATTGCCATATGGTAGGTGTTATGGATCTGTGTCCACAAATTTTAGGCCATATGGTGTACTTTATCCTCTTCAGCTATTTCAGGGCCTCTCAGTTTAAGTCTTATGTTTAAAACACACCAAATTCCATTTTTTCCAATAATCAGCCCTGTGGATTGCTTCATCTATGGGGTGGTGTAGAATAACTAGAGGAATGTGTAGCATTTTCTCAGAGGAACAAATTACATTTGCTGTTTCACATTCCAAGTGAAAGAAATATAAACGTTTACTGACTGCTAAGGGGCGCCGATCTTTATTTTTGCTCTGGGTTTTACTTCCTTACTTACTACAGCTCCACCATGGTAGTAAGCAAAATGTAAAGGAAAGCTTTCATGAGGGAAGCATGATGGATGCCATTGGTGATCTTGCTTTTAGCAACCAGAAATAATGAATGCAAGTCCCCCATGGATTCTTCTGAGCTGTAAGTTGGAGGTAGCAGGTATATTCCAGCCTCCTGTATGGCAGTGGAAGGGTACAGGGGTACCCAGGGCCGGATTTACTCCCCCTGCCGCCCCAAGGCCAGGTTCCACAATACGCCCCCCCCCACCCTGCCATCTGGTTGCCATTCTCAATTGATGGGGAGGGGGG